TAAACATAAACTTCTGAGATTCCGAAAGCAGCTAATTAGGCATATTGCTGGGGGTTAAATCAAAGATTTTCTTCGCTTGACGATTTGGATTAATGACTTCACGTGAGTAAGACGTGTTTTTCTACACCAAAAGTGATAGCAAGTAGGAGCACGTCCAGCAGGTGGTACTAAGTTATTTTGGTTAAGTTGCCGAACACGACAGTTAGCCAATAGGCGGGGAGCTAAACCATCCCCAACATACTACCGCATCCCCAACATACCACCAAGATTCCTTATACTCGCTTTGAATGCATGGCGAATTTATGGCGGTAACCCGAATGTTTATATGTATCATGGTAATAAATGTTGCATTTGGTGCTTCATGGAGATTATGTGATTTGAATGAACTCCAGAAGGTTGCTACAAAGATTCTGAGGCAAAACCTACTCAAAATATTTTTCCTTTCCTGACTACACAGGCAACAATAAACGTACATGTTACTTACATCGTATTTCTGTAGGCTTATATTGGCGTTGCGGAAGTCAATATCACAAATCCAGATTACACTAATAATGTCACATTTCGTCATAAAGTCCGCATCCGGAGAGATGCTAACTAAGCTATCTTCTTCTGCGCCAAGCAAAATCTTAGCTTCCAATAGGTAATTTGTCACTGTTCTCGCCAATGCTCCACGATGGACACGAGTTGTATATTCTATTCAAAAAAGGAAAAAATGGTCTGATTTTGTGAAAGTGTTGGTGAAATCTTTACAAACGTCATTGAAATGCGTTAACATCAATTTTTCATCATCATAGGTGAATAGTTAGTAGAGTCCACTAAGGTAAACCTTTAAGTTCGCAAATTAAGCCTCGACACGAACCTGGAATGTGTTCTTTGAACGTGGCGTCGTAACTGTCTGTCCGATTATAGAAAAAAATCAAAACAATTAGGCTTGCTCGAACATTTCTAACTGCCGTGATAACGTTAATTTTTACTATCGCAATTGTTTAAGGTTTGTTATTTTACACAAATATATGGGCGCACTTCGCTCGCGGACAGTTTGTTTGGCACTCGATGACATAAAAGTACGAAGAAATTCGTCGAATGCTATGTCTTTTAAATAGCAGGAGGCTAAGAGGTGGAATGGTAGATATGTAATAATGCAATTTTATTTAAGCGCCTTCAGTTGAAGTTACGAAAGTGCAAATTAATTTTCTGTAGTTTAAGTAAATTTCGATTTATCGCAGTATTGTTTTCCAATGTTGGTTAGAAAATATGTCAACGTTTCATTTTTAAACACATTGTTTATAATAGTGTCAAATAATCAGAGTTTGTACTACTGACGCAAAATACAAAAATACATAGTTACCGTGCCAGTATATCGTCTGAGTTTGACTATCGCTCTCCGTTCTGCAAACATATCGGGATATTCTTGTTAACGCCGTCCTCTTGGCAACGTGGATGAAGGCGTAAGACTGGTTATCAATACTCAGCTCTGTGAAAGGGAGAAAAGTACGGTAGGCAATTCACACGGTAGTAGCACTACTCTTGATTTACACTTCGCGTAGTAAGGATGAAGTAAACTATTCAGTTAAATTTTAAATAATAACACTTACGACACATTCCCCGCTGAGATGTGGTCGTCACTCCAGAGCACAGGGGTTTCCCATTCAGAAGGCATTCTAGTTTCTGCATTAAACCAATACTAGAAATCTTCCATGTAATGTTCGGCTATATGCTGCAATTAACTCAGTTGAGAATTTTCGAACCACGGATTTGCAGCAAGCTGCTTAATGGTAATCAAAATATTTGTTCTCTGAATATTTGCTTAAAATATTAAAGGCCATTTTTTTCTGCCTTCAACATAATCTTCAATAAACGGGTTTAGTCTGGTATCTGGAACAAAATGTTGGCCTCGAAGGAAAATTTTGCAAACTGCACTGTCAGGATACTAATCGCAACGATGATGATGATAAATGAGGCCTCGTGCAGGCCAGCAAGCCTTATTTCGAATTCGTGTACCTCCCCTTTTTCACTTAGGGAGATGTTAAAATAATTAAAAGCGGTCAGGGCTTGCTTATAAGTAGTCATTAGCGTAAGACTTCAATTCGTTTGACCAGAGATTATGTCCGTATTTGCTCATCCGAGTTCTTCCACCGCCAGTAGGATATTCTGTTCACGGTAACAACCCGCTGCGTAAATAACTGTTTTGGACCGCAAAATAGGTTCCCCTGCAAAACTCGCAGACATTGGATTGGTATCTGCTATTACATTCTAATACGATAGGGACACGAGAGCGAAGCACTGTTTAGCAAATTACATCATAAAGATCGCTCATGATTCGCAGTAGTTTGTTGATGTTTCCTTTTATTTTCATCTTACAGATATCTGAGCCTACTTAGTTTCAACACAAACGTCCGCGCCGCTTGAGTTCAATGCTTGCAGAACTGATGTGAATTGAATGCCCTTTAGAGACGGGAGCACTCTGGGTTCCTGTCCAATAATCATTTGCCAGTGACAGATCGATCATTATGTGTTAAGTACAGGATGTTGACTGGCGAGTGAACTAGCCAGATTATAGTGCCGACAGACTTGCGCAGCACCTGCCGTACACGCTCCTTCCTCTCTCGACGGCTAAACCAGGTCATGTCGACAGGTCTTGCCCGACCCGGATGCTGTGGTTGGAAATAAGAAACAGCCTTTCCAGGCTTGCCACACACGACCTGATCTCCGCACAACATACTGTGTTCTGCCCTGATTCTGAATATGATTGTAGAGCGATCTATTTCGGAACCTCCAAACCCTAAAAGGAACACTTCACCCAAAGCCTCTGATGGGCTTTGTCCACATCGGATCCAAATGATCGAGACAACGACAGCGATTTTGTGTAGCCATTGACTTCGATATGGAGGACTGTTGACAAAAGTGAATCTGTTGCTTACTTACTCTGAACGACGTCTGGTCGGCGAAATACACAAATGCTAAAGCTGAATATTCAATGAAATAAAATTGTTCTGTACGAATACCGGAACCAAAAAGAAGTGGTGCAGCCGAATTCGCTGAAGCTATCTCAAACCGTCACTGGTGGACGTTAATGATAGCAATTTGTTAATTTCAGCCAAATAACTGCCAGAATATGATGGCGAATATGACAAAGTTTTTTATCAACATGAAGATGCTATGCGGCATATTACACAAAGAGTGGAGAAAACTCTAAAATGCTTTCTCTTAGAAGTCCCACCCCAACTGCCATATTCAATAGATATTGTTTCCCCAGGTTAGCATTTGTTTCGGTCGAGGAATTATAACCTTTTCGAGCACCAATTCATATCCTATGAAAATTCAAACAATGGTTCAATCGGTGTAGTGCAACAAACGCCACTGGTTTTCTAACAGCTTGCATGGTGTATTACCCAGAAGATGGAGGATGGCTACAGCTGCAAGTAGACTAAAATATATTGGATATTGCAGTCTAAGTCAGCAGTGCCTCTTTCAAAACAAACGGCTTAATCTAAGTTCTCCTCTCATTTTTTCCTTCGCTCATGCAATCAAGTCTTACACTACGTATTACAGAGAAAATTCAGGATGGCTACAGCCTCCGGCAGAATAAAATGTATTAAATATAGCAGCCTACATTAGCAGTGCTTCCTTCAGAACAAAGGGCTTAATCTATAGTGCGTGACCTATCTCATGAAATTTTGGCTGAACTTCAGAAATGCGTTTTAGATTAAGAAGGATTACTTGGTCGGGGTGTTGATACCGATTATCTTAAGGCATATTCTTATAACATTTTAGACTCGGCAGCATGTCGGCTTTTAAATGAACTTCTTTTCAATCTCCTGTAGAAAGGGTGCTTGGTGAAAAATGACAACTTAAGTAGCATGCATTTTTCCCATTGATTATCGGTGGTCTTTGAAATTCAAATATATTTTATGGAAACCACAAACAAAAGTGCTTTCTTTTAATCAATAAATAGAGAATCACGTCTTTTTTATATTATATACTTAAGGAAGGAGCATTATTTGGTTTTAAAAAAAGTTACTTATTATGAGACTTTTAAGACCGCGATATGTCCATTCCCATAATATCCTACCTGACCGCTTACCACTACTCTTCATGAAATGTGCAACATGGTTCGCACCCATTGCAAAATTTTATGGACTCTGTATGATATTTCTTTAATGACATAGAAAAATATGGCATTTTCTTTGCGCGGAACGCATGCGCCTCGTAGAGTGTAATCACTAAGCGCTAATGCAACGAATGATCAGGCTCCAAATTTATCGGCAATTAGAAAACTTTTTTAAAACTTAATTATACTCCTTTCTTAGATACAAAATATAAAGAAGACGTGATTCTCTATTGTCTGGCAAAAAGAAAGCATATTTTCTTTTATGTTTTCTATAAAATATATTTGAATTTCCAAGACCATCGAAAATCAGTGGGAAAAATGCGTGTTAATTATGTTGTCATTTTTTACTGAGCAAGCTTTCTACAGGAGATTGAAAAGACGTTCGTTTAAAGGCCAACATCCTGCCGAGTCCAAAATGTTATAAGCTTATGCCTTAAGATAATCGCTGTCACAACCGCGACCAAGTAATCCTTCCTAATCGAAAACGCATTTCTGAATTTCAGCCAAAATTTCATGAGTTAGGTCACGCACTGTAAGTTTTCCTCCCATTTTTTCCTTTGCTCATGCAATCAATTCTTACACTGCGTATTACCCAGAAGATTGAGGATGGCTACAGCCGCCGGCAGAATAAAATGTATTAAATATTGCAGTCTACATCAGCAATGCTTCCTTCAATACAAAGGGCTTAATCTAAGATCTCCTCCCATTTTTCCTTCGCTCATACGCGCAATAAAAAACACATGCTGCGCAAACCAATGCCCAGGAAAAAAAAAGATATGTTTGTCGAACTCGGCAAACAAGCATTTCTCTACAACCACGTAAAGTTTACGGCAATATATTCTTTACTGCGACGGCACATATGAAAAGCACATCGAGAGAAACTGGTACATCATACCTGTTGTTCCGGGGGACCCCTGTAATTTAGAAGCCACTTTAGTTCAATCACAGCCAATGCGGACTGCCACGCGTTGTTTTTACCCCGAAAGTCATCCAAACCTAAAAGGATAATACATATTTTGAGTATAAAGTTGCGTCAGGCGCCGTATGCGTAGGCTGGTTTGCGATCTGTCCACTGACAGCTTTGCTGCAGCCTTTTCGCATAGTAATCATGCAAGCGACTGAGGGGCTACACATACCGGACCAGTGATGTCGGTAGGAGACGATTTCGTACTGATAATGCTTCCGATATTCGCAGGTATAAAACGACATTCTTTCTTTTCCTTGTTTTGCTTTGTATCTCATAACCGTGCGGTTGTTTTCCGTTTCCGAAACTGGATCATTTTAAAGCAAATTAAATCAATGCATGTGGTGATTCAAAGACAAAGTCGGTGTAATTAAATTAACTATCCCTTATATCTAAACAAAATAACCCACCGCAAGAGTGTGGATATCCACAAATATCCTGGCTAACTGAGAAGCAAAGAATCTAAAATTTGGACAAAAACACAATAATCGGAGACCAGTCTACTACCATTTGCTGTCTGCAAAATACTTCTTTGTATTTCTCAAAAAGACAAGGGCCACAAACGAGAAAATGATACTGAACATTATACATACTACAACGTTGCCGGTGGTTTTTTTTGCAACGCACCACCAGGAGAATTTCATTGTTCCCAGCAGTGGACGCCAACACTGCAAAATTCTAAAAAGACGTGTTCTTATTTGGTCACTGATAGTTTATCATAGGCCATTTGCATAAACCTTAGCAGACTGTTAGGATTTTCGTTGTAATTTTTCATGTGAAATATTGCCAGCTTGCCCACCTAATGTTAATGGAATTTTACTCCCCTTTCGCGTTTTACACCGATAACGTATTATCGTTTCCGATGGAAATATTGGTCAAAAATTAGCTGCGCAACACATCAGTCATACTTACTTGTTTCCTGTAGAAAAGGAGGTAGACTACAATGACCATTCTTGGCTAATTAGCCGTCGTCAGACAGTCAAAGTCAACCTAAAGGTGTAGAGCGCCTGGGCTCGAGCTCGCGACCTGTTGCTTAGAAGTCCAACAGTTCTAATCACTGAGCCACGGGCCCATAGCCTTGTCGGTTCCCGTCGGGAATATACAATGACATTCACCATTCAAGTCGCTCTGGTCTTTGTCGCAAATAGCGTTCTGCATTGCGCAGCGGTGTGGCTGACGATTGAGATCGAGAGAGCACAATTGGCACGAAGGGACAAAGGAGTTCCATAGAAACGATCAGTGAGCGTCCATCGAACATCCTTTCGTATCATTCGACCCAACATTTAGACTGTTCACTACCGAAAACACTTCTCCTTCATCCAAGACTTTGCTGGCGGAACACGTTTCCAAAGACGGTTCCGGCAAATTCTTTCATTTACTTCACACTATCAATAGTCGCTGCATACCAGTGTGAACCACTGGGTAGTATTATCCACTATGAATTTTGTTTTACATATAATTTACAGCAGCCTCTTAAGAGATGTAATAAAGCATCAAAAAAGGAAAATTGGGGCATTACTCCGCATGTTATATTCAAGTGCGTAACAGTAGTACATAATGAGCAGTCCGGTACTGTGTGTGGAAAAACGGAAGGAAAATTTTGCGGTTGTAACTTACTTGTGAAACATCTACCGCAACTGGCACCTGCTGTAACGGCCAAACCAGTTCCAGCTCTGTCACATTTTTGGACTTTTTTAAGAGACTGTCGTTTTCATATCCAAAGGTTCCTTCAAGAGGGAAGTATTGCATCATATAATTTGAAATGTTCTGTTTAAAAGCGCGGTAAAAATGTTGACCAGAAGGAGGACGAGATCAGTCAAAATTAGTTGCTTGTTTAGAATGGCAAAACTATATCCGTTCTGCATCAAATTTTTATTTACTACTTTTTGGATTAACTACTGTCAATTCTGTGGCAGCAAGATCCCTACTTTTTGCGGCCAGAGAAGTAAAGGAACTTAAGGTCTGAAATGCACCCGTAAGACGAAGTATTATATAAACACACAAGCATATCAGTATTGCGCACTCCGCAGGACGTACGATTGGGCAACAAGGCGGCGGAAATATGTTCAACATTTAGCCAGTACTTTGCATATTCGTTGGACGGCTGAAGAGACGCAATGCGGAATTCTGTAATACCCTGTATCTCAGGAAAAAACACCGTCATTCGGTAGTATTTTCCCACTGAAAGGGAAAGAACATTTTCCATTATTTTTTTAGGTAGCCCAAAGGTAGGTTATTTGTGGCAGTTAAAATCATTACTCGTTATGACGATGTTTACGGTAATGCATAGTGCGGAAGCTCAGTGTATCAAGTTGATATTTCACTTTTCTTTAGTTTTACAAATTTTATTTATCCTGATTTTTGTGCGTATCATTGCGAGGTCTAAGAAAATACTAGTAAGTATTTGATAGAGTATTTTATTGCTTCTATTGCGAAAGCATCCGTTCAAGCTGGGAGCACAGCTACTATCTAAAAGCACAGACACTCATGTTTTGCAGGTCTCGTTCCGCTACATGAACAAACAACGCGTATATAGATTTACCCACTTCCCCTTCGCCCGCCAGCGTCCTCCATGTGCCTTCGTTTTATTCAAACTCCAGTCGCCACACTGCACTGTTTAAACGTGTTGGACAAAAGGCGCGAACCAGGAACACGTTCAAACTGAGGCTTTCCAAGCACGCTCCCAAGGTTGATGGGAACATTTAACCTAAAATCCATCGACTAATAGAGATTTGATGGCCACTAAGAGGCACTTCATGACACGCCAATGCCAAACAACTTATAGCATTTGTATGAGCTTAACGACATTCTTCTTAAAGATGAATCCCATCTTTGAGCCTTTACTTTACAGGTACTTTAAAAGACAACGTTGGATAAACAAAATCCAAAGCACGTTGTTAATGAGCTTTGAAGTTATTTCCCCAGACAACGGCCGCAATTGTGAATGAATGTGATTGTTGAAATTGAATTCATTCCCCTATAGTGCTTCTGACAGTCTACATCAACGTCCAACTCCTGCTAGAAAGAGGGTGTATTGAGATCGGCATTTAGCGCCTGCCTTTTGAAGACGAGTGGGCGGTCATAAAAAGCGTACTGTCCTTCTGCTTTACCGTTATCCATTGTTCACGCGTCCACAACCGAACTTTTTATCTGATGGCAGTATCAACTCGTTCTTTAACGTAAATGTCGCGTCATGCGAGGCAACTGTGATAGGAATGCCATCTCTAAAATATTTGTTTCTGATAACGAGGCTTGCAAGGATCAAACATCCGGAGGAACATTTTCAAAACGTGATTTCCCACGGCATTTACAAACACCAAATAACGGCTAAAAGGAGAGGTAACCTGTTTCAAACGGTAATGCACACCCTTGAAATTGGGCACACATTAGAATGGGAAAAATACTTGCATCGCTGAGTTTGTTCTTCTGCAAACCCCGATGGCGTATTGAAGGCATGCATTTCAATGGATCATAGATAAGTAGACGCATTGAAAAAAATTGCATGCCAAATATGTCACAAAGAATTTGGATGGACGAGAGTCAAAGAATGCAGAATCACACAAACGGCAGCCGCTTTCTGGATGAAGTGCCCAGATGAATAGCGGTTTCTCAGCAAGTCGGTAATGATTGTTGTTTTTTCCCATTTACTCCCGTCTAAGAATGTCCAGAGGAACCAGCGTCAAAACCTTACCTTGGAAATATCCTTATACCTTCATATATATTTCGCCGAACACATGTATGAAAATGTTTATTCTTTTACGAATTAGGTAAGAAAAATTATACCTGCTTAAATTTTATACTTCAAAAGGGCATAATTCGATTTTAAAAGAGATTCAAATTATGATATTTTATAAACGGTGGAATGTCCATTCATTAAACATTTTGTCCCTGTATGTGCTGATGTTTCTTGTGTAGTTTGCCACGTGGCTCAAAATCACTGTCAGATTTTGTGGGTCCTACGTAATGTTCTCTAATTACCGTGGGTTAGCGTATAACTTTTTGTGGCACAATGTTATTACCGACAAAGACAGTCTCCCTTATCTTTGTCAGTAATACCATCCTGCCTTTAACTTGCGCCGCTGAGCGCCTGCTCGTTGGATTCAAAAGAGATCACGTAAGCAGCAACAGAACTAGTGCGTTCCATAGGAACAAGCCGGTGGGCGCCCATCTACCATGGTTTTGTGCACGCAAAGTATACAGCTTGTAGTTTGGAAACCCTGAGTTTCCATGTTGTGTCAGGTTTGATTCAAACTTATTCGGGAATCGAAAAGGGTTTTTTGAAACTAATTTATTGCCTACATTCAAGAGAAAATTAAAAGAAATGAATTCTTTACCACATATGCAAATTAATGGATATTTTTATGTGTATCCTCAGAAATAACCTAATTATTCTGTAATAATGCTGATGGATATACATATTGCAACCTGTAGGGAGTTTAAGAATTTTACGTGGTTATTCTGCTGTGACTGACAATCGTCTACCCGCTCATTTATCCCAAGTAGGCAATTGATTTATGAGAAGATTACCAGAGGCTTAATTTCACAACTGGGACACCTACCCGAAATCACACATTAAATGCCTAGCTTTTGCCAGTATTTTGGCTGCCAGTACGGCAGGTCAAAAAGCATGCAATATACCATAGAGGAAAAACACCAAACCACTTGCCTTGTACAACTTTACAACGGATAGGTCCATCGATTGTCACTACCACGCATGTGCCTTTTTGTGTTTGCACGTCAAATAAATTCGGCTGAATGTACACGAACTAAGCGAAATAAAAGCAGCGCAATTCAAATGTTAGATGCCTTTTCTGATCGACTGGTAGAATAGTGCGTGATTTTCGTACTTACCTTTGGCATGCCTGGCAGAAGTGTCGTAAATATAAATGGTCCGCGTTCCTGAGTAAAAACCGGGCGTACACTGTCAAAGGAGGGGACATCTGTGCAAAAGGAATGAAAGGAGAATGGTCAGTCATATTACTAGGTTTTCGACCAGAAAATGTCTTAAAGGTTTTTACGCTGCAATTTAAATCAGTCAGCTTGTGGTCGTTAAAACTCTCATTATGGGAATCATAAACCCCTTCTAAGACGCAATAATAAATCAAGTATACTACCGTGAGAAATTTTGATGAATTCTTTAAAAGTGTGCAGTCGTCTTTCATCTGCATGCAATTTACGTTTTTTTTTCGCCAATTCTTGCAATGCTCAAATATACAGCTTACACCTATTTTGACAGTGCAAAAGGCAGATGTAAGTTCAGATGCTTGTTTGCATCTTTTTCTCTAGCAAGTGTGGATAAAACTCTACTATCATTTAAACGCTAGCTGAGAAAGCAACCAGTTTACCATTGTTTTTTATATAGCGTATATTAAGCATTTTAGGGGCTCGAGGAAGGCGCATCGTAACTGAAGGTTATTGTTTATTTTCACTGACAGCGTTCGCTTCCTGGATTACTCTAGGTAAAGGCCACTATCTTCGGTGGATCCCATATAATAATAATGGGTTAACTTCAGAGGTTATGTTTGAGTTAATGCTCAAGTACGCAGTCGCCAAATGAAAAACTATGAAAGGTTTAAGCAAACCATCCCACAGTGGCATCTTTGCTTACCATGAATGTAGAGATCCTCATGCGTTTCATTAACTTTGACCATGAGAGTTTCAAAGAAAGAGACCTCGGGCAAATTAATGTCTACGTGACACTGTTCCACAGCTGAAACAAAAAAACCATGCAATACGGCGCGTGCATCACAGACATAAAAGGCTAACGGAATTTCACTTTAAATACCCAGCAATATGCAGTATTTATTCAGTTGCTACATTACGTTGGGCTTTAATCTGCCAGTGATAACATGCATAGGAAGTCCGATAGACTTACAACATTCAACGGGGCAGGGAAATGCAAATGCTATGGATGAATTCAGCTGGCATGTGCCGTTGACGGCTATGAATACGTCCTCGTCAATGCTGAAGGTCACTTCCTACGCAGTGAAATGAGAGAGATTCGGTTAGATAACTAGCTGATAGCATTAAAGTAATATGGGAAAGAAAATTGCTGATATGTCCTTTGTAGAAATTGAAGCGGGGCTTACCGAAGTCTCGTTGGAACTTGGCACACGTAACGAGTATGGGCCCGAAGACTGTGAAATCTCGTATTTTCCGAATGACATCTGAGCAGGGCTGTCGGCTTAGTAGTGGAAATAGAGGTTATAATTGGTGTCAATCAAGGAAAATGACATTTTGTAATGTGCAATTGTTCTGCCTCCTCAAGGTTTTATTTTTGCTATTTCAAGCAGTCATACATGTCAGGCGCAGGAAGTATGCCTAGGAGGGCATTCTCATCACCCATATTAATGCTATTTATTCAAAAGCGGATACCATGCAAAGGTGCCAGCTCAACTAGTTGCCGGCGAAAAGAGTACTCTATACTCACGCCTGCACGTCGTCTCTACTCTGGTTTGTATTTAATTTTTTTTGCTCCGAATTCGATTCAGCTGAGAAAGCATTTCCGATGTACAGATATTTTTCCTCTATTTATAAGTCAGCAGATCGGTAGGCCTTTCTGAAAACCTCAATTTTCAAGGCATCCTACAAGGCGACTAATACTGAGTCCAGAATGATTTAGGTGCAGTACGAGTCGTAGTTGTTTACGAGAAGAAACTATTGTAGAAGTGCTGGATACATCGCGTTTTTTGAAACTACAGGCCGAATACAAAAAACCGTGCATTCTATATGGTGTTAAGACGTGACCATATGGCGTTCATGAAATTTAGCAGTGAGATTGCGTCATATTGTTAACTTTGCAAGCCACACACGGGCATTTCACGGTACTAACATATCTCACAACAAGACCATTGGGAAAGAGCTTACTTCGAATAAAAAAATTAGGGGACCACGTCCTTTTCCACCGACTGAGCAAACGAGGCGTCAAAATCCCTATGGCTATATTCAGAAGAAAAGGTGGCGATCGAACGTTGATTGCGTCAACTTCTAGTCAGCCCATGGAACGAGGTACAGTGAATAAAAGAAATTATAGTGAGCTGTATTGAGAGAAATGTGTATCCAAACCATTATTGGAGAACGCTGTGTCGTAGTCGTACCGTTATTACCACAAAAAAATCTGAAGGGTTACGCTGGGAATCAAGTGGAAATTATCATCGTAAAAATATAGGATCTTGAGCGCCATGTTTGTCAACGCACAGCCGTCCTAGATAGCCAGACAGATGAAGAAAAACAAAAAGTCGACATCTACACTCAGACTATAGAAGAAAAAACGTGGAGAGGCAAATAATTCTGCGCTCCATAGTAGTTCACATGCGATGAAACCCCAGTCGCGGTTTCTGAATGATCCAGCTCGTTTCGTACACAAACAATCTTATATGTAACTTGATAAAGCATCAACTGAAGCTTTATCTCTGGGTCGTAAGTTTTGCATACCCCGTCGGAAAGATAATCAGTTAGAATTAGAAACTCAGTTGGAGAAAATCTGGAATCAAACCCTTGGTCTATTGCCCGCTTCCACAGACAGTATCCAAAATTACAAACCAACACCGGGGAATTACAACTATAAATACGTAAATAAAGGCTCAAAAAGTCGATGATTGCTGATATAACAACAAATAAAAAATTTAAAAGAATTACGAAAAACAAACAGATCTTGGTCACTAGATCTGACAAAACAACAGGTGTCGTTATAATGAACATATTGGAGTACGTAGCGAAGACACAGTCCATCTTATCTGACTAGAAGAAATTCATAAATGTAGACAAAGAAAACGATTGCACAGGTGAAGCAGAGGCGAAATTGACTGACTGTTCAAGAAGACTCCACACAGGAGATTGGATAAGAGACCTTGATTTCAAACATCTCGGCTCAGTCGTCACACATATTTATCCATTATAAATTTCAACTAAGATCCATAATGAATGCCTACCAGTTCGTTTGATTTTAGATATACGGAAGGCTCCGTTTCATGCAATATAAAGTGGTCAGCAGAGAAACTCAAGCCGATACAGCACCAGCTGGCAGCAGGCAGCTATCCAGATACCTTTCAATACATCGACGTAATTAAAGACCTCAACCATAACGGCATGATGTTGTTCTCACTACACGTTGCATCTCTTTTCACAAACGTCCCAGTCACCGAGACAGTTGATGATTAAAGCTGCCAGTCATCAAAAAATAGCCATACCGACGAAAACACTCAAGGAAGTAGTACTAAGGTGCACATTAGATGTGCAGTTCTTCTTTGACAACCAACTCCACAGATAAATATATGGTGCTCTTATGGGCTCGTCTCTTGCATCTCTCGTAGCCGACGTCTTCGTGGGCAAGCTGAAGAGATTTCAACTAAGCGATCAGATCCAAAAGCCTAAACATTACAGTCGGTAAAATGATGATATCTTTGTGATTGTAACCACAGAAACCGAAGTTGCTCTCTTCCTAAATGCTGTAAACCGAGCACATTCATCGATCAAATTGACGTTGGAGATGGAATCGGCCGGTTCGCTTCCTTTCTTAGATGTCCATCTAAACAGGAAATGTGACGGTTGCATCCGAAGGAATGTCTATCGGAAGAAAACCTGGCCTGGACAATACACGAACTTCGCTAATTTCGTACTTCTCCACAAAATGTAAAATTTAGTCAGGCGTTTGCCACAAAGGGCTAAAGACGTTTGTTCAGCAGATGGTACTGAGGACTAACTTAGAAAAATCCAGGACATGCTTCGCCCACTTTGCTCGCGGACAGTTTATTTGGCACTAGGTCCGGCTACCTCCGCTTTGACAAACAGTCAATGACATAAAAGCACTAAGTAATTCGTCGAATGCTATGTCTTTTAAATGGTAGGAGGCAAAGGGGTGGACTGGCAGATAAGTAAAAATGCAATTTGATTAAGCGCCTTGTGTTAAACTTACGAAAGAACAATTTTGATTTCTTTTGTTTAAGTAAATAGCGATGTAATGCAGTAGTGTCTTCTAATATTGCTTAGCAACTATGTCAGCCTTTCATTTTTAATCGCATTAGTTATAATAGTGTAACATAATTAGGGGTTGTGCTACTGACACGAAATATAAAAATACACAGTTACCATGCCAGTATATCGTCTGAGTTTGACTATCGCTCTCCGTTCTGCAAACATATCGGGATATTTTTGTTGTCACCGTCCTCTTGACAACGTGGGTGAAGACGTACGACTGGTTATCAATACTCAGCTCTGTAAAAGAGAGAAAAGTACGGTAGGCAGTTCACGCAGTAGCCACACTACTCTTGATTTGCACTTCGTAAAGTAAGGGTGAAGTTAACTATTCAGTTAAATTTTGAATAATTACACTTACGACACTTTCCCCACTGAGATGTGATTGTCACTCCAGAGCACAGGGGTTTCCCATTCAGAAGGCATTCTAGGTGCTGCAAGTAAACCAATATTTGAAATCTTGCATTGCATTTTGGGCTATAACATGCAATTAAGTCATTTGAGTATTTTTTGAACCACTGATTTGATCGCAAGGACTAACACCAGACAGGCGCGTGCATTCCTCGAAGCTTGACATTCCTGCAAACGAGAAGGCTCTTCCGGATATCGAGTTGTACTCGCAAATGTTCAAGTCGATGACGCCACTCGCTGTAGACCCAAAGAAAAATCAAGTCGCGCCTATCAAGAAAAAAGAGAATGAGCCTGCCAGATTGAAGCTTATCAGTCCCGATGACAGCAGATCTATGGCCCTCGGGGACCTCCGTATCGCTCGTGCGTACGGTCTTCCCAAGGTACACAAGACAGATGAGCCACTGAGGACCATTGTGCCACTTATTGGATCCCCTACTTACAACCCTGCCAAGTGGTTATACAGACACTTAAATCATCTCACAAATGGATCGCAATACAGCATCAAAACATCTCAGGCTTTCCTACAAAAGATCCAAGGCCTTGAAGTAATTCCTTACGAATGCATTCTATCGTTCGATGCTGTTGCCCTGTTTCCTTCAATACCGCATGACCGAGCGATTAACAGTGTAGTCCGATGTCTTAAACTTTGCCTCAAGAATTATTGTCAGTTCGATGACGAGTACTATCAACAATTAAAAGGCAGCCCAATGGGCTTGCCAATATCGGGGCTCCTTGCGGAAGCAGTATTGCAGCGACCAGAACAGACTGTTGTGCAAACCTTCGAACCAAAATGTGGCTTCGCTACGTGGACGACACATTTGTCATCATAAAGACCAGCGAAGTAGAGCAATTGCACCAGTACTTAATAGCGTCTTCCCGGCTATACAGTTTAGTCGCGAAGCAGCAACAGGACAGAACCTCCCGTTCTTAGATGTGCGTATACAAAGACTTAGTGATGGCATACTAGCAAGAAGCGTCCACAGAAAAGACTCTAGTGCCGAAATACTACTTAACTATGGGAGCAATCATACAGCGGCCCAAAAACGAAACTGTGTCCGCACTCTTTTCCATCGGGCCTATCGCGTCTAAAACAGTGATGACTTCATTAAGAAAGTATTCGCCTACTTACATAGATTGTTCCGGTTTAACGTATATCCCGTAAGTTTTGTAAAGAACTGTCTCAAGCGCCAGAGACAACTACCGAACCCCGAGTCTAATGGAGATAGAGTGGCACATAAATTCTATTTACTGCCGTACATTCAGGGAATTCCTGAAACACTCTCTCGGCAATTAAACGTTTTGGCATCTTCATTGCCCATAGGCCCGAAATTTCCCTACGCGAGGCCTTATGCCGAGTAAAGGACCCAGTGTCCAAAGAACAACTTACTAAGGTCATCTACCGTATACCGTGCGCCAACTGCCCTTCTCTTTATATTGGCCATACAGGCCGATGTCTTGGGACACGCAAACATGAGCAAGAGTTAGCCTTCCGTCGACGTGACACTCTGTTCCTCGTGTTGGTGCCGGCCCTTGAGCATGACCAACGTTTCCATTGGGGCGGTAATAAGGTGATCACAAGTGCTAAAACCAGACAGGCGCGATTATTTCTCTAAACTTGGCATTCTGACACGAACACTATCAACCGCCACGTCGATCTAGATGGTCACTACGAGGGCTTGCGTACACGCTTACTGTCTTGTTCCCACACCCTAACAACAACTAATCCCCACTTGGCCACATAGAGGTATGCTCCCTCAAAATTCCGCCCCTCCCCCCCCCCTCCTTGCGACACGGCGAACAACAACAACCGAAACGCCCTAACACCTCCAACGCCGGCGCATTGTGCCCTGACCTCAGCCCGCATCAGTGACCAGCCACCGGCATTCCCACTGATCTGCAAATCCTACGCGTTTATCTCCAGGTCCATTACAAGGAGCCATAACGGTTCTTCCTTCTCTCCCCCTGCCCGACAGCCTACCATAACTCGGTGACCACCCCCTATCATGCATCAGCTGTCCTGTCGCACCAGCCGACCTAGCCTGTCCATTTCCCTTTACCCTCTGTTCATTTCGTCTGACGAGGTTCCGTTGCCAACAACTTGAAAATTTACCAGTACAACCTCCATATTCCGAAGAGACTTCTCTTTCTTCATTATATATGGATTTACTTAATTTCAGCACAAACGTCTGCGCCGCTTGAGTTCAATGCTTGCAGAACTGATGTAAATTGAACGTCCTTTAGAGACGGGATCACACTGGGTTCCTGTTCGATAATCATTTGCCAGTGACAGATCGATGGTGATGCGGTAAGTACAGGATGTTGACTTGCCGGTGAACTAAATAGACTACAGCGCCGACAGACTGGCGCAGCACCCGCCGTACACTCTCCTTCCTCTCTCGACGGCTAAACCAGGTCATGTCTACAGGTCATGCCCGACCCGGATGCTGTGGTTGGAAATAAGAAACAGCCTTTCCAGGCTTGCCACACACGACCTGATCTCCGCACAACATACTGTGTTCTGCCCTGATTCTGAATATGATTGTAGAGCCCTCTAATTCGGAACCTCCAAACCCTGAAAGGAACACTTCACCCAAATCCTCTGATGGGCTTTGTCCACACCGGATCCAACTGATCGAGCCAGCGACAATGATTTTAGGGAGGCATTGCCTTAGATATGGATGGAGAACCAGCCGCATCTTTGAACACTAGACTTTCTTGGCCTTCCGATTAGTGTTCGATATTGTAAGCTATAACTTACCCTGTCACTGACATTCTAGCCACCTCAGGTGCATCGATTTAAACTCTATTCCTAAATAGGGAGTTGAATTCGCTATTCTTCATTTTAACTGGTTTGATTGGTAATGTTTCCAGGCACTGTAAACGGCAGCACCTATGTAACATACTCCAGCAATGTCGGCTTATTCTATTTATGTTACAGAAACGTTAACATCAACAAGATTGAAAGTTTTGGCCTGAAAGACGCACGTTTAGGGAAACATGCACATGGAAAGACTACATGTGAAATATTTCCGCCAGAACATACATGCGGGCATTTCCGCATGACAATTGACAAAAAAGAATCTGATGCGATAATCCTTAGGGAAACTTCACCCGAATGACATCCGGTCAACTATAAACACTAATGCTAGAGAAGAGTATTCAATAAAGTAAAATTATCCTGTAAAAGTATGGGAGCAAAAACAAGTGGTGTGGCCGGATTTGCTGAAGCTATCTCACACGGTTACTGCTGGACGATATCGATAGCATGTTTTAATTTCAGCCAAATAACCATTTAGAATATGATGGCGAATATGACTAATTTATTTATCAACATGAATACGCAATGTACCATATTGCACAAAGCTTGGAGGAAACTCTAAAATTATTTTTCTGAGAAGCCCCTCCGCACCCGCCGTATACACCAGATATTGTTTCACCAGGTCAGCATTTGATTCTGTCGATAAATTATGACCTTGCCAAGCACACATTCATATTCTATGAAAATTCAAACGATGGCTCGATCAGTGTAGTTTCATTGGATATCTAACCGCTTACTCCATTTATAACCCAGAAGATGGCGAATGACTACACCCGCAGGCAAACTAAAATATATTGAATATTGCAGTCTAAGTCAGCAGTGTTTTTTTTCAAAACAAACGGTCTAAGCTATGTTTTACACTCATTTTTGCCTCCCCCACATGCAAACAATTCAAACACATGCTACTCAAAACGATGTCAAACAACAAGCAATATATTTGTCGAAACCGACTAATGGACATGCCTTAACAATTGCGTAAAGCTTACGGCAATACGTTCTCTACGGCGACAACACAGATTTAAAACCCGTAGAGAGAAATTGGTACATCATACCTGTTGTTCCGGTAAACCCCTGTAATTTAGAAGCCACTTTAGTTCAATCACAGAGGAAGCGGACTGCCACGCGTTGTTTTTACCCCGAAAGTCATCCAAACCTACAAGGATAAAATTTATTTTGAGTATAAATTTTCATCAGGCGCCGTATGCCTAGGCTGGTTTGCAATCTGCCCACTGAAAGCTTTGATGCAGCCTTTTTGCATATTAATCATTCAAACGACTTAGGGGCTACACTTACCGGCCCAATGATGTCGGTAGGAGACAATGTCAAACCGACCATTCTTCCGATATACGCACGTATAAAATGACATTCTTTCATCTCCTTGTTTGAGTTCATATTTCATAACTGTGCGGTTGTGTTCCTTTTTCAAAACTAGATCATTTTAAAGCAGATTAAACCAATGCATGTGATAATTCAGCAACATAAATCGGTGTAAAAGAATTGATTGTCCCATATATTTTAACAAAAAAACCCACCGCAAGGCTTTGGATTTCCACAAATCACCTGACTAACTGAGTAGCAACGAAGCTGAAATTTGGACAAGAGCATTAGTATCGGAGACTTTTCTACCATCAGTTGCTGTCTGTAAAATAATTCATTTTCATTCTCACAGGGACATGGGCCATAAAAGAGAAAATCATACTGAAAATTATACACACAACAACGTTGCTGGTGGTTCGCTTGCAACCGACCACCTGGAGAATTTCGTTGTTCCCAGCAGTGGACGCCAACACTAAGAAATTTCTTAAAAGACGTGTTCTTATTTGTTCACTCATAATTTATCATCGGCCACTTGCATAAACCTTAGCAGACTGTTAGTGTTTTCGTTGTGATTTTTCATGTTAAATATTGCCAGCTTGCCCAGTGGATGTTGATGAAATTCTCCTCCCCTTTTGCGTTTTATACTGATGACGCCTTATCGTTTCCAATCGAAATATTCGCTAAATATTAGCTGCGCAACATACCAGTCTTACTAAATTGTTTCCTGTAGCGGAAAGGGAAACAGGAATGACGATTTCAGGATAACTAGCGATCGTCAAACTGTCAAACCCAACCTCGAAGTGTGGAACGATCTGTTAGTTAAGAGTCCAACGGTTCTAACCACTGAGCCACGGACTCGTTTTCTTGTCGGTTCTGATCTGGGATGTACAATGACAGTCACAAATTTAGTTGTCCTGGTCTCTGTCGGTAATATTGTTCTGCATTGCGGCGCTGTGCGCCTGACGACTGAGGTCGAGAGAACCCATATGGCACAACGGGTGCGTCCATCTTTCATTGTTTTCGCCTTTAGACCCGGTATTATGAGTGTTCATTACCGTATACACTTTACAATCACTCAACAATTTGCTGGCGGGACAGGTTTTGAGTAACGTTTCCGGTAAATTCTTTTATTTACTTCGCACTGCCAATAATCGCTACATTCCAATCTGAAGCAGTGGGTATTTTATCCACCATGAATTTTGTTTTACGCGTAATTCACAGCAGCCTCTTAATTGATTGAATAAAAGCGTCAAAAAAAGGAAATTTGGGGTATTACTGCTCATGTTATATTCAAGTCCGTAACAGCAGTATGTTATGAGCAATCCGATACTCCGTGCGGAAAAGCGGAAGGAAAAATTTGCGGTTGTTACTTACTCGTGAAACATCTACCGCAACTGGCAACTGCTTCAACGGCCAGACCAGTTCCAACACCGTCTCATTTTCGGACTTTTTTGACAGACTGCCATTTTCATATCCAAACGTTCCTTTAATTGGGAAGAATTGCATCATATAATGGGAAATTTTCTGTTCGATAACGCGGTAAAAACTTTGACCAGAAAGATGCCGAGATCAGGAAAAACGAGTTGCTTGTTTAGAGGAGCAAAGATATCTCCGTTGTGCGTCGAATTTTTATTTACTGTTTTTTGGATTAACTACTGTAAATTCTGTGGCAGCAAGATCCCTACATTTGCGGCCTGAAATGCAACGGTAAGACGAAGTATTATATAAACACAAATATGTCGGTACTGCGCACTCCACAGGACGTACGATTGGGCAACAATGCGGCGGTAATATGTTCAACACTTAGCCAGTACTTTGCATTCGTGTTGTTTGGCTGAAGAGATCCAATGTAGAATTGTGTAATACCCTGTATCTCAGGGAAAAACACCGTCAGTCGGTAGTATTTTCCCACTGAAATGGAAAGAACATTTTTCTTTATTTTTGCAGGTAACATGAAGGTAGGCTATTTGTGGCATTTAAAACCATTACCCGCTTTGATAATGTTTACGGTAATTCATTGTGCGAAAGCACAGTGTTTCACGTTGATTATTCACTTTTGATTAAGTACGATTAAGAACGCATTTCTTGTGTTTTTATAATTTTATTCGTCCTTGTTATTTTGGGTGTAGTCGCGGGTAACTTATTCATTGTCTACAGTCAAGAGTAAATTAAAAAAAATTCTTTACCACATAAGGAGATTAATGGATATTTTTATGCATATCCTCCGAAATAACCGAAGTATTCCGTAATAATGCTGATGGATATGCATATTGCAACCTTTTGGCAGTTTATGAATATTACATGGTTATTCTGCGTTAACTGGCAAGCGCCCACCCCATCCTAACTCATTTATCCCAAGTAAGCAATCGAATTCTGAGAAAATTATTAGAGCCTTAATTTCACAACTGGAACATCAAAAAGAAATCACTCATATAATGCCAAGATTTTGCCAGTATTTTGGCTGCCAGTACGGCAGGACATAAAGCGTAGAATATAATATACGGAAAAAACATCGAACCACTTACCTTGTACAACCTTACATCGAATAGGTCCATGAATTGTCACTATCATACAGGTGCCATCGCTAGCTTTCAGGTGAAATACGTTCCCGTGAAAGCGCACAATCTGCAGGAAACAAAAATTCAAATATTAGATGCCCTTTCTGATCGACTGGTAGAATTATGTGTGATTTTCTTACTTACCTTTGGCATGCCTGGAAGAAGCGTCGTAAATATAAATGGTCCGCGTTCCTGAGTGAAAACCGGGCGTACACTGTCAAAGGAGGGGACATCTGTGCAAACGAAATGAAAGGAGAATTGTCAGTTCTTTATTCATATTACTAGGTTTTCGACCAGACAAATATCTAAAACGTTTTTACATCGTGATCTAAATCAATCGGCTCGTCGCGTTTACAACTGTCATTATGGGAATCATAGTTCCCCCTCTAACACGCAATAATTAATCAACTATTTCACATTGGAAATATTGATAAATTCTTTAATGGTGTGCAGTCGTCTTTCATCTGCATGCAATGTACGTTTTTGTCGCCAATTCTTGCAATGCTCAAATATACAGCTTACACCTATTTTGACTGTGCAAAGGGCTCATATAAGTTCAGATGTTTGTTTGTTTCTATTCCTTTTGCAGGCGGACTGTTTGTCGTGCAGCAAACTGCAAACTTCCAGTCTATTGTCTGACAAAACTTTAACCACTAGAATAGTGTGGATTAAACACTATACTAATTTGATTGTAAGCCGAGGCAGCAGCCAGTTTATCACTGCTTGAGTTAATGCTCAAGTACGCAGTCGCCAAATGAAAAACTATGAGAGGTTTATGCAAACCATCCCACAGTGGCATTTTTGCTTACCATGAATGTAGAGATCCTCATGCGTTTCATTAACTTTGACCATGAGAGTTTCAAAGAAAGAGACCTCGGGCAAATTAATGTCTACGTGACACTGTTCCACAGCTGAAACAAAAAAAACCATGCAATACGACGCGTGCATCAAAGACATAAAAGGCTATTGGAATTTCAATTTAAATACCCAGCAATATGCAGTGTTTATTCAGTTGCTACATTACGTTGAGTTTTAATCTGCCAGTGATAACATGCATAGGAAGTCCGATAGACTTACAACATTCAACGGGGCAGGGAAATGCAAATGGTATGGATGAATTCAGCTGGCATGTGCCGTTGACGGCTATGAATACGTCCTCGTCAATGCTGAAGGTCACTTCCTACGCAGTGAAATGAGAGAGATTCGGTTAGATAACTAGCTGATAGCATTAAAGTAATATGGGAAAGAAAATTGCTGATATGTCCTTTGTAGAAATTGAAGCGGGGCTTACCGAAGTCTCGTTGGAACTTGGCACACGTAACGAGTATGGGCCCGAAGACTGTGAAATCTCGTATTTTCCGAATGACATCTGAGCAGGGCTGTCGGCTTAGTAGTGGAAATAGAGGTTATAATTGGTGTCAATCAAGGAAAATGACATTTTGTAATGTGCAATTGTTCTGCCTCCTCAAGGTTTTATTTTTGCTATTTCAAGCAGTCATACATGTCGAGCTAATGTCCATCAAGCACTCTGTGCTGAGCGACCGAGTCCCAAAGGAACGAGCGTAAAGTATTTATTACATTGAAAAGCGGTTTTTAAGATACTCACCGATCGCCAGTACTGAGGTTAACAGCAGAAGCAGAGCACGTTGGAGCATGTTGCGGGTGTAGGTATGCGTAGATTACAATCACTGCTCGTGCACAACTCACTATTTATGTTAGGTGTCCATAACTGAACTCATCTGACCTCTGTGAAATGCCTTAGGAGTGTCACGGTTCACCTACTGAGATGGACTCTGCTCGGGGTAGCCAATGGCATGCCTTAGCCAGCAAAATTGATTATTTTTAGTGAGTGACAGAAGAGGTCACATTCATGCGACATGTCAGAAGTACGCAAAGCAGTAAGACTGAGGTTTATGATGAACACCTGCTCTGGAACGTATTACGTTTTGCACACAATATTTAAAGTATTGAAATTCTGAAGGATTCTGTAGAGCATTTCCTCTTCCAGAAACATATTTTGAAGACTGGGATTCCATCAACAAACGTAGTTCATCGTTGCGAAGACTGAAAAAAGCGACCATGATATAGTATATTTGATGAACGCGTTAATTGTTGGTCGCGTTGCTTCACATATTACCAATTGTAAGGGCAAATGTCAGTCTCCTAGTAGATAGTTGCTCTGTATCAGCAACTGTCATTTGTTGAAACGATCCTGTTTCAGTTCGAACCTGACGATATCCATGTGTGTTTCATGTTTTCTTCAGTGTGGTTTCCGTATCCGCATTGTGGCGAAGTACATTTTAAAAAAACTTTAGCCCAGCTATGGACTTATTCGCGCAGACAGTATGTTTTAGGAAGGCATTCTTATCACCCATAATGATGCTGTTTATTCGGCAGCGGACACCATGCCAGATGCCACCTCAACTAGTTGCCAGTGAAAAGGGTACTCCCTACTCACGCCTGCACGTCGTATGTGCTCTGGCTTGCATTTAAGTTTATTTACTCCGAATTCGATTCAGCTGGAAAAACAATTCCGATGTAGAGAAATATCTTTCCGCTATTTATAAGTCAGCAGATCCGTAAGAATTTCTGCAAACCACAATTTTAATGGCATTCTACAGGACGACTAATACTGAGTCCAGAATGATTGAGGTGAAGTACGGGTCGTAGTTGTTAGAGAGAGGAATCTACATCGCGTTTTTGAAACTACAAGTCATGCCCAAAAAGCCATGCATTCCTATACGGTATTAAGACGTGACCATATGGCGTTCAAGAAATTTAAGAGTGAATTTGAGCCACACACGTAAATGCAGAGACATGACGTTTTATGAACGGGCATTTCATGGTACTAACATATCTCACAAAAAGAAACCATTCTGAAAACCCTTACTTCGAGTAAAAAAATTAGGAGAACACGTCGTTTTCCACCGACTAAGCAAAGGAGTCGTCAAAATCCCTATGACTATATTCAGAAGAAAAGATGGTGAGCGAACGTTGATTTCGTCCACTTCTAGTCATGCCCGTACAGTTAAACAAGATGTGCTAACTCACGAAATGTCAACCAAAATTTCTAAATGCGTTCTCGTTTCGAAAAGATAAATTCAGTAGTGTTGTAAAACTAATCATGATGCAGCGTAAATCTATAATGATGCAGTTACCTCAGGGGGTCGGTGTTCTCTCTGTTGAATTACAAGTAATTTATTCGCACGATGCTCGTTTTCGGCTTATCAAGTCAAGAACGATAGGGCATTATTAAATTCTGCGTGTTTCCCCACTTTCGGTTTGTTGTGATTTCCTTCGAACATAAAAATACACTTCGAATTCCAATAGTATATGCAGAACAGGGTATATACAGCTAACTACAGCGGAATAAGCAATGCACTCCTTAACCTCCACTCTCGTCCGACAGAGAAAAATAGGTCCCTTCGAAAAAATACTCTGTAACCACAAATTCACAGCGCCGGTATATCAGTTGGACAAGTTGGGGTCGTGCTGATCTTCCGTACATTCGTCAGCAAGCTGTTTTGTGTGCAGATTTGTCATCAACATGTCATCGCAGATTTTGTACCTCCCGGATATTTTATAGGACCTTCCAGTCCGAGGAATTTGTTCCACAGTCGTTGTAGTGCACTTAAATCAAAATAAAGCCTCATGTCTGCGGGCCTTGCAAAAGTGCTTTCAAAATTTCTTGCATCTTGAATGAACACGAAAATAAAGATAAAGTTTTTTTCAGCAACGCCCTATCAAGTGACACAGAAGAGAACTTCTCAAAATCCGTTAGCGAGGCTTTGGTGTAAAGAAAACTTCTCTCTACTCTTTCTTCTAATCTCAGCGTAAACGCGGATATCAGTGTGAGTGGGCATGTCTTATCGACGATGACATTGGCTTAAAACAACTACTATCAGGGGCTGCATTCTACGTCGAAGCCGATACCCCATATGAAAACCGTCTTTCTGCGAAAAATGTCTGACCGCATTATGATAAAAAAACTAATGGATGTTTAGAGGGTGGCCACATCGACGGATGACGACCGAATTTTTGGTCACCAACCATATATTTTCTAGCGGTCCGATTGGGTTGAATAGAGGTAAAGGCTAGACAGTACCCGCTTTAAGTTGTTTACATGTTTTCCCGCGGTATCATCATGTCAGCAAATGAGGATCCAGCTTTTAACGATCACTGGTGGCATAGGATTGAGGGTGAAAATATCTTATCATGATTTGGGTTACGTTCCGAGTATAGGCCTCAATATATTGCTCAAGACAATGCATCGGCGGCAGGTGGATTCTGTGTCTACACTAGCTTTATCGAAACGAAAGATGAGAATAGCCGCCCAACATAATTTCCCCAAATACAATTAAATTATGCTTGTTCTCCGACAGCAGCCGGTTCCCGAAATTAGACAAAATAAGTGGTTATTAAATCATTTCCTGTAATTTGTGGAAGTTTTCTTAAAATCAGTGCATTCCAACGTTTTTGAGAAAAGCGTTAAAAATATTTTCGTTTGTTATGTGATTCAGCATAAATCTGAAGAAATCATGCCCTCGGGAGTGTCATCTAAATCTGCCGAACTGTCACCTGAAACTGGCCTTTTCGCTTCTATCGGTTGCCAAATATGCTCGGAAAGGACGCACATGACGGTCATGAGCCGGTGGTTAATTCCTATTGGCAGAAAAGCAGTCGACCGAATCTCCTTGGACGAAATTGGATTAAAAGTGTGCCTTCTGTGCTATCCTATGTACATCGGATTGGTGTAAATCCGGCCTTAGATTTAATTTTGGCAAATCATAATGATCTATTTCGTGACGATTCAGCTACCCACTACCGCGGTCCACCTGTTAAGTTTCAGTTTTAATCAGATTTCCGGCCCCAGTTCATCAAAGCTCGTACAGTTCCCTATGCACTCGCACCGAAGGTCGAAGAAGATCTGGATCGCTTACAGAAAGCGGATATTATTGAGCCCGTGCAATATTCGGAATGGGCAGCCCCAATAGTTCCTGTTCTTAAAACTGATGGTTCTGTGAGTATCTGTGGCGACTACAAGCTGACAATCAACTCAGCAACTAAACTGAACCCTTATCCTATCCCGCGCATCGACGATCTGTATGCATCTCTCTCGGGTGGTCATCAATTTACAACTTTGGAAATAAAGCATGCCTACAACCAAGTCGTTCTGGATACTAAATCCCGAGACGTCACCACCATCAATACGCATCGGAGTTTATTTCGATATAAAAGACTACCATTTTGAGTAAGTTCGGCTCAAGGTTTATTTCAATGCTTAATTGATAATCACGTGAAGGATATACCTCACGTTTGCGCATATCTTGACGATATATTAGTTACCGGCCCATCTGAACATAGTCATCTAGAGACTATAAACATCGTGTTAGGATGTTTACAGGACGCCGATTTTAAACTCAGGAAAGATAAGTGCACTTTCCTTGTCGACTCGGTAGAATACATGGGCTTCACGGTGGATAAAACTGGCCTGCACCTACTCGAACATAAGCTCAAAGCCTTGAAGACGGCGACGTGCCCCAACAATACTGGTCAATTGCGTTCATTCCTGGGGTTGGTCACCCACTTTAGTCGCTTTATTAACCAGTCAGCTACGATTCTAAAGCCTCTTTATCGACTGCTTGGAAAGAATCGTTGCTGGAACTGGTCGGAGGTCGAACAAAGTGCTTTTGAACAGGCAAAGGCGGCTCTTATCTCCTCATCTGTCCTAGTCCGTTATAACCCCGAAAAGCCTATCATACTGCAATGTGATGCGTCTCCGTTCGGCGTAGGTGCGGTTTTCATGCACCGAATGCCTTCTTGTGCGGAGATTCCGATTGCCTTTTCATCAAGAACCATGTCACCGGCGGAAACCAACTGTTCGTAACTAGATAAAGAGGCCTTAGCAATAATGTTTGGCCTACATCGCTTCCACCTCTTATCTTTTTGGCCGACCCTTTGAGATTCACACTGATCACAAACCCCTCTTAGGTCTGCTGGGAGAAAAACGAGGGATACAACAGATGTCCTCGCTGAGAATGCAACGATGGGCGCTCACCCTGTCCGCTTACATGTGCGCAATGTAATACGTTACATGTAGGGCAAACGTGGTGGCTAACGACTTGAGTAGGCTTCCTATTGTGGACGATGGTATTAACGCGACACCTGTTTTTGAGACCGTAAATCTTTTGCAGAACCTAGTCAACGCGCCTGTAACCTGTTAACAAATTCGACAGTGGACATCGAGAGACCATCTCCTAAGTCGGGTAGAAAGAGCCTTACAATCTGGCTGGCCGTCCTCTACCTCCTCTGATTTTCAACCATTCTTCAGCCGTCAGAACAAATTAAATCTACAAGACGGATGCATACTATGGGGCAATCGTGTAGTTGTGCCACCACAAGGCCGACGGGCCATCCTCAGAGACCTGCATAATGCTCATCCTGGTACAGTTAGAATGAAAGCTCTCGCCCGCAGCTATGGTAGGTGGCCCAAAATTGACGCAGATGTAGAAAAAGTGGTGAAAGCATGTTACGTGTGCCAATTAACACAGAAGACCTTACCGAAGGTTCCTCTGAAGCCATGGGCCTGGCCCGACTCGCCGTGGAAGAGAGTAGACGTCGATCCTCGCCGACGGCCAGCCAGATGGTAAGGCTC